GCTGGGCGGCGTTTCGGCTTCTTTTGGTTCTCTTGGGTTTTGGTGTGTATTGACGCGGGGGGGGGGGGGAAGACTCGCTGAAACAACCCCCCGTCGGACTGCCTGCCTTGCGGAGTGCGGCCTCGCCTCCCGGTTGCGCTTTTTTGTTTTTCCTGCTGCTGTTGCTGTTGCTGTGATCTTTAAAGTGTTACTAATTGCACCTCCTGGATCCGCGCCTCGGAAAAAGGCAGCGGCCAATCCGCGCCCTGAGGAGCGGAGGGCCCCTTGAGAGAGAAGGGGGGCCGAGGGACTCCCCCCAAGCAGGGGTCGTGACGGTGCTACTAGGGCGGGAAGGTTAGGCTACCGCCCCGGGATATAAGGAGCCGCAAAGCTCCCGGCCGTCTCCAGAGCACCGATGCTCACGCCCCTCCCTGCAGACCGGGGTGAGAATGGAAGAGGTAATGGGCGGCTTCCCGTTTTCGCCCCCCTCGGACGGTTTCTTCTACGGCAGCTCGCCCTGCGCCGCTTCCCCCGAGGAGGAGGAAGAGGGTTTCGCCCAGAGGATGGCTACCGCCTCCTTCCGAGAGCCCCCAGTTGAGCCTCCCGGAGGCTCGGACGGCGAAGAACACGTCCGCGCCCCGACGGGCCACCCGCAAGCTGGCCCTTGCCTGCTCTGGGCTTGCAAAGCCTGCAAGAAGAAGGCGAGCCCAGGCGACCGGCGCAAGGCGGCCACCCTGCGGGAAAGGCGGCGGCTGAAAAGGGTCAACCAGGCTTTCGAGGCCCTCAAGCGCTGCACCTCGGCCAGTGCCGGCCAGCGGCTGCCCAAAGTGGAGATCCTGCGCAACGCCATCCGCTACATCGAGAGCCTGCAGGAGCTGCTGCGGGAGCAAGTCCAGCAGTTTTACGGGCTGCCCGGGCCCGGCTGCTCCGAGCCCACCAGCCCCAGCTCCAGCTCCAGCTGCTCCGACGGACTGGTAAGGAAGGGCCGGCCTCGCTCCGGCGAAGGGATGCTCTGACTCCCGTCCCGCCGGAACGACATCAGGCAACAGCGGCGGGGAGGCGCAGAAGGGCTAACCCGGGCGAGGGGGATCCGAGAGAACCCCGAGCTCTCCGCCGCAGCATCGCCAGCCTCACCTGGCCCTGTTCTTTCTTTTTATGTGGCCTTTTTAAATGGCTGTGGCCGATCGTTTTCCCTTCCACCCAATCGAAGCGTTCCCGGGACTGAGGCAGGATTTGAAATTCCCAAGATGCAGCGCAGGGCTGGTAGGTCGATGCCTGAAGCCAGAGGAAGACTTTTCTGAATCTGGAAGCAGTTGGGCATGTTTGGGGGTGCCAGGAGGGGCAACATTAGTGGAAGGGGATGGCTCGTGCAGGAGCTCCCAGAGGAAGCCAGGCCCTTTGCTGAGCCAAGTGGAAATCAGTGGTGCTGAGCTGTTCCTCTTTGGCTGCGCCACCCCCTTTGCTCATTCCACAGGTTCAGTGGGTAACATGTACTTTTGACTTGGGAGGGGCACTTCTAGTAAGTAGGAATAAGATTGTGCTGCTTGCGTGGTAGGTATGCAAAACAAGAGTAGTGGATCATCTGTCCATTTTTATTTCTTTGAGCATCCTGATGTAGATTTTTAAAAAAAACATTCTGCTATTTCCTTTCAACAGTCCTCTGAAATGAATTGTTAACTGCTCTTCCACATTCTGCAAATGAAAATTGGAGACAAATTTCTAGGAACCTGTTTGCACTGTGGTGTAGCATGTTCCTGCATAATTGCAATTCTGTGCAGGACTACTTATGCATAATATCTCTATATACTGCATGTAACTACTGCAGTGTAAGATTATTCATCCAAAATTTATGGTACAGCAAAAGTTTTTTCTCATATTCTGTTTTCTGGGTATATGATCAAAACATTTTAGACGTCCTTCCCTCTTTCAAAGGCAGCCTTCTTGGATTACAGAAAGAAGGAAGAGAAAGATTATGAGGTTAACCTGTTAAAATAGATTGGTTTGTATGCTGGTGTGTAGCTAGTGCATCTCCTGAACAATTGTCTAACTCAGGGTTTCTCAACCTCAGCAACTTTAGAATGTGTAGACTCCCACGTTGGCTGGGGAATTCTGGGAGTCAGAATCTACACATCTTAAAGTTGCTGAGGTTGAGAAACCCTAGTCTAACTCCTACTCCTGAGGAAGAGCTGTAAATCTGCAGTGTAAGATTTGATGGGTGGGAGGGCAAGCTGTATCCTTCAAATTTCCTTGCAAGCAATCTTATCAAATGACTCAGGGAAATCCTTATATTAATTTATCTGGGAGTAAGTTGCACTGCACCTCACTGCATACATACATTTCCTGTAAATCTGCATCAAGGGAGACAATGGAAGGCTAAGTGATCTAGCCAGATCCATCAAGGATTAGAGTCAGATCTCTTGACTTAACATTTGTGGATGGTGACCATAAGCGTGCTTATTTGAATCTCAGAGCTAATTTCTTTTAAATAAAGATGTGTAGGTAGTAATTATAGTTGCAATTGTAAGACTATGGTGGGGGTTTCTTCAGATTGTCTGTGGGTATGATTGCTCGCTATAGATCCCTGAAGGCAAGAGCTTGACCCTGAGTCTGTTAAAATAAAGTGTTTGCTTTGAAGTTCATGACATGAACAGGCTTCCTTGTTTGAGTTTGAGTGAAACACCAGTTGTGTTTCAGTTTAAGCAGTAAGAAATAGAAGCTGTCCACTTCAATTCTAAAGTGCCTCCAATGAGCCTTGCTCTTAACTGTTTCAAAACCCATATTCAGACAATTCCTTCATTAGGCCAACTTGAAACTTGTGGGAGATGGAGGGAGCACAAGCAAGCTACAGCAAAGTTGACTTGATGTTCAGCTACAAAAGCTTCATGTGAAGGCAGTTTCCTCACTCTTTTTCCCAAAGCCCCACTTTGGGAAGCTTTCACCCATGAAGAGACTTTCAGATCTTTTTTTTTTTAGAAGTTTTTTTCAGATCTTAAAAGTTTACACATTTGTATGACCTTTGAGTGGTCCTAATAAATAAAAATCCACATGAGGACAATATCTTTTTGTGGGCAACTCAGCTACTTTTGCTTAGAATGAACATTCTAGTAATGTAATTGTACTTCCATGTTAATGTGTGTATGTACATTATTATCTTTCAAAAATGCAGAAATTATTTTAATAGGAATTTAGCATGATGAGATTATTATAATTCCTACATTAAATTTAGGCACTGCTCAAATCCAAGATGACTCTGGGTGGCTAATTTAATGTAAAACAAAGCAACAATACGATATAGAAAATACATAAAGCAAAATAATGTATACAAGATCAGCATCTGTCTGAACAACACTCTATCTATCAATCATTTATCTTTTGCCCCTCGTGAAATACTATGCGTGCAACAGACTAGACAGAGAAAACACTAGGCATGTCTCAACTGCTGATGGACAAAACACACACATATACAACCAATGTGAATGTGCTCTGTATGCCACATTCTTTTCAGTTTCCTCTGGAGATGCCAAGCTTTGATGTGTTTGCCTTTAAAGCTTAGCAAAAAGCCATTTTTCCTGCTAGCCATGTCTTCTGTTCAACCTGTTCATGCAGCAAAGTGCTATAGGTGCATCGGACAGTGTGTGGCCTCGGTTCTCCTTCTTTCCCATCTAGGGTGAGTTAGAGTATGAATGAGGTTGGTTAGCTAGCTTGTTACACAAAGGAGTTTTCTTGTCATGGATGAGGCAGTTAGACCTTGGGAAGGGGGCATGTAAATACATAGGCTCAGATTCCACTCAGTAGAGTTCCTAGCATCTATCTGATTTAACTAAAATATCTGAAATGCAATCATTACACGGTAGTAACAATGCTAATTTTATTTACTTATTTTTTTTATTAATCAAATTTATATGTCACCCATCTCACTGTATAAGTGACTGTAGGTGGCCTACATGTAATTAGGAGAAACCCCATACAACCACAAAATACAATGAAGGTGTTTTATGTAGCAGAATCATATCTAATCTGTGAGTATAAGACACTGCCAGGAGGCTGTACCCATATTAATGATAGCAAAAATCAGAAGCAAAGCATAAGATATTGAAAATGAACCCTATTATAAGATCTCAGTCATTCAAATAACACTAGTATATATCTGACAGAACCTCATATGCTATATATCATTGAACTGAAGCCAATGTTTTCTTTGGGCACAAATGCAAAATAGAAAAAAAAAAACTTGTCAGGTTGCCCTGTACGGCCTGATCGTTATTCTGACACTCAAGGCAGGAAATCCTGCAAATCTTGCCCTCCTCTCTAAAACACTAATTAATCCAATAAATTAAACAACTAGACAATTTGTTGCCCTTCCTAACAGCAAAAATCAACTGCCTGAGATGATCACCTCACTCTTCTGAATGTTTTGACCAACCTTATTAATTACGTAGAAAATAATCAAAAACAGAATCTGTACATTTGATATACTTTGAACCACACTAGATCAACAACCACACAGTCGGGAAGTGTCCTCTGTGAGGTTGCACTCGATTACATTCACCCCTGTACTTATACACATGCCAGGTATTCCTAGTACCTGCCCAAGTTCCTTATTCTTTCCAGGTACTCTTGCAGGTGAAACCCACTCAGATGAATTCAGTGTTGTTGTATCAGATCTTAGAAGTATGGATCTATGAGGTAGGGTAGCTTAAAGCTTACTGTGTAAGAAATACATCCAGATCATTGTTTTTTCACATACACACACACACACACACACATTCATATTCATATTCTATTGGCATAGAATCCCATATTTGACAGTTTCTGTACCCCCCAAAATTAACCAAAATATTATTCAGTGCTATGACTTGTGTAAGGTTTTTGGTTGTCTTTCAGCTTATTATGGGTGCTCAGTCTAGTTTCGTTTTTCTTTTTTTCTTGCTAATATTTTCACATGAGCACTATGATTGATTATATCTTAGACAAGACAATATGACTCAGTTTTATCTTGTACAGAAGGTTCTGCTGAATGCATGGCTACAAATGCAATTTATATTTCCAGTTCCTTATTTGTAAATACCATCTGTGGTCATCATACTGTTTTGATTGGAGAGAGTTAGTTATTGTGTATCTTGAAAGAAATAATTCCCCAGTGATGAAGACAGTGATGAGGTCAGATCCATGTAACTGTTAGGTCATTGATCAATTTACTCACTGAGCTCTGTTCAGGGCCATTGTTCAAATAAGGAAGCTGAAACCAGAAATCACTTACTATACAGCATCCCCAATTCCTTGACAGATTCCTAATACATGAATATTTAACTAACCAAACTTTATGGATTAGGACCTGGCTTTTCAAATCTAGTGTCTTTTTTAACCCATCAGGTCAGAATCCTTGATCCTTTTGTTTTAGCTACAAGAACTGTGGTTTGTTGTTCATGCCCTGGCAACTGTAGTTTATTTAACAAATCAGTTTAAAGAAACCATGGTCTAGCACAGTGTGCAAAGCCACGTTTTAAGCCACAGTCTTGTTTTCCTTTGTGATTCCCCTCTAGCCTTCCTGCGTACATGTAGTAGAGACAGTACAGCTCATGGCTTCTTGTCTGTTTCAGACTGAATGCAACAGCCCCGTGTGGTCCAGAAGGAACAGCACTTACAGCAAGAGTTACTGCTCTGATCTCCAGAATGGTAAGGTTCACAGTTCTTCACACTCCAAGGATAGCACTAATAGCATCAAAACAGAGGTCCTCAACTGGATAGAATAATCCAGTAACTGCTCTGGCAATATCTGGCAGTACCTGGTAGACCTGGAAAAGAGAAATTCAGTTGCATTCGATTTGAACATTTGTTAGCTACCTTTCTCTTTAAAAATGTTCAGAGTGGTAATAATATACAAAATAATATGTAGCTATTTCATGTAATTTCCCTTGAAGTCCCTTGAAGAAAAATGAAAGGAACTGAGTATGTTTAGCTGGGAGAAGAAATAATTAAAGAGACAGAATGATAGCAGTTTCGTAATATATGAAATGTTGGCACATCAGGGTTAGGATTTTTCTGCTTTCTAAAGCATAGCTTGCAGAATTCCTAATCAGTTGCTGGCCTTGCTGACTAATCATTCTGAAATGGTAGTGCAAAACATTGGAGGACATAAAGCTTGGGAAAAGTTGCTCCAGAGGACAGGCCTGAACCAAGGGCTTCACATAACAAGCAGAAAACTATTTCCTAAACATTAGCCAAAGTTGCTAATAAACAAATGTGTGTCACCTCAATCACCAGAGTAACTCTAGGCAGCTGAATTGAAATGATAGAAAAGGGTATGTTTCCTATGTGTTAGCAGAAGCTGGAGAACAGTCTGAGGGAGAAAAATAGTGGATTCTCCTTTATTAATGGAGATGGCCTGTTCAAAGGGACATGCCCACCATCTGCAGTGGCTGGCTTAGACTATCTCATGAGATAGCGTCAAACTTTGATTTTGTGTCTCTTTCTACTAAGTGCCATTTTGTTTTTCCCTCTCAGTCTATCCCTCAGAAGCAAGCACTGCCCTCTCCAGCCTGGACTGTTTATCCAGCATCGTGGATCGAATCTCTTCCTCGGATCAGGTGGGGCTCTCCCCACAGGACACTGCTTCCCTTTCTCCTATTGCCAGTCCTGAATCCCGGCCAGCCTCTCCCGAGGCCCCTCATTCCAAGCTCATCTATCATGTACTATGAGCTGCCTGAGATTTGACACCAGCTCCGCCAACGGCTGGGTGTTTCCGAGAATTCCCAGCATCAACAAGGAGATACTCCATTGAAATATGAGGCTCTTGGAATTCCGATGGACCAAAAAGACGCATATAAAGAAAAAGTCACTTTATGATGTGTGTAATTGTGGATAGCTTTGTCCTTTCACCCCTTTTTAGAAGGAGAATGACATATTTAATCAAACTACTTTGTAATGCTATGTACTATAATTATATAACAACGTTTTAAAGTGTATGACATCACTATCTTAATTATCATAAAGAATAGAAGCCAAATGCGTGGATGTAGCTCCATGTTTTGAGTTGCCTAAAAGAAAAATAGGATTGGTTAAATTATATTTCCTAAGAGTACTTTTACTAAGAAATACATAAGCGACACGATCTCTTGTTTTTATCTATAAAATTATAACATTATAGTCTTTAAAAAAATGTAACCCAGGGCCAACTCTACAATTAGCCAGGACAAAGCAGCATGGCTCCAAAGGCAGGTGTTTGGCTTAGGGCAGTATGTTACAGCATCACTGTTTAGTTTAATGTTATTTTACTACTAGATGGAGACATTTAGAATGCTTGATTCAGGTTTCTACTGCTTTAGACCTACAGCAGTGTTTCTCAACCTTGGCAACTTTAAGATGTATGGACTTCAGCTCCCAGAATTCCTCTGCCA